TTCAAAAATAATAATTTTTTTATTAATAAAATAATCTAAATGCATGCGTCATATATTAAAATTAAATTTTCGGATTGTTTTTACACGCTAAAATTAAATTAAACCCCTGAAAAATAAATAAAGTTTTTAATAGTTGGAAACCTGGTAAATTATTTTCTTTTATTAAATAACTTAATTTAATTTTTCGGCTGAAATTTTTATTTATTATTTATTTTATTTATTTTATAGATTTTTAATATAAAATAATTAAAAATTAACGGCTTATCATGTATTTATATTTTTATTAACCGGGGGTTTTTTTAATTAATTTGGGTATTTAATTAAACGGGGGTTTTTTTAATTAATTTGAGTATTTAATTTCGGATTTTTAAAATAAAATTAAAATCATTGGTCTATTATTTATTTATATTTATTTTTAAAAATATCGGGTTGATTTTTTATTATTATTTATCAAAAAATTGGGCAACAAAAAAATTAAAATTACTTACGCCCTTTTTACTAATAAATTTGAACGGAAAAAAGTATGTTCCGAAAGGTTAGAACGATAGGCACATGATCATCATAAAATATCAAAACACGTGATCGTTTCGAGCCCCGGATTTTGCTGTGGGGGTTTCCATTTGTTGAATAATTATATTTTCTATTGTATTTTTGTATTTACCTTCATTACTCAAAACTAGTTCTATATACCAAATTTATTAAAAATTTTAGTAAATAAAAATATAATTTACGAATTACATTATTATATATATAATTTCATCATTTAAGGTTAGTTTATACATTTTCGAGGTATTGTCGATTATTTATGTATTTACCTTCGTCAATTGAAACTTTTTCTTTAATTTAATTAACGAATTATAGTATTTAAATGAGATATTTTTATGAATTTATAAAAAAAAATATTAGAATATCATCCAACCGTTGTCAAACTAAAGCCTCATACCTTTTTTTTGTTTAGTGAAAATATTTTGAAGTTTCTTTATTACACTTTTACCTTTATTGTTACTATTAGACATGGTTATAATGGAAAAAAAATATTTTCAAAACAAATTAACTTGTATAACGACAGAATGCAATGTGATACAAAGGTATGAAGATCTTGCCGCAATATGTGATGCACAAGGGCTAACTACCCCAGTGAAAATTTCGTTATCACGTGATTATAGGTCTGCATTAAATCTAGAGGGAGTGACAGATAGTATGTGAAAATATGATTATACGCCTAAAATAATTCCAAGTCGCTCAAATAAATAGTAAAAAATGAATCAGGTAGGGTGATAAATACGTGATCGCGATATTTTGTCAGTGCCACGGGGGTAGCTTTCAAATACTGCGAATATTGCGGCAATTATATAATTTGAATTAAATGTAGAAAAATTTATCTGGATAAAAAAAAAAATATTTTCTTAATTTAGTTTTCTTTGTTTATTATTACAGACAAGAAATATATCGAAAAAGCAATATCCATGGAAACATGCATCATGAATTTAAAAAAAGTATTAGAATATAATGTACTAATTACTAGATTAATTAAAAAAAACTTCATTTAAAATTATGGTTAAAAAATATATTATATTTTTATTATATATTTTTTTAAATTATTCACGCCATTAATTAAAATTTGTTGTACCTAGTGTAGTTTATAAAGTAACTTGATACGGGCATTTTGTTTCTTTAAAAAAATAAAAAATATTTGGATAATTATTTAAATACTTATTTTCAATAAGGATAAAAAGCCATTGCGAATGATATGATTCGTGAAGGATAGTATAAAAATATTGATATTATATTTGCTTTAAATAAAAATATTATATTAATAATTAATGTTTAAATAATTAAATCAAAGAATATGTTGTAGATTTTGCCAGCACTAAATATTTGGCCCGAAATTTTTGTAATGGCTTATTTATTCTTTACTGTATATTCAATTCTTTCGTTAATGGAAGTAAATTTTAACGTTAATTTGATTATAAATAAATCCCGCGTGTGACATCAGAACCTATAAGCTATTATATATTTAACATTCTTATATTGGTGATTTATGGGAAAACAAAAACATAAATCTGAATTTTTTTTTTTATATTTTCATTGTTTTTTTGTACTTTTTTATTTTTTTTAACAAATTATAATTTCATGTATAAATAAGATTTGTTCACAAAATGAATGAAGATCAGTGTTCTTGAAACAAGATAGCGAAAATTGAATGAGCTTTGAATATACCATTGCAATGAGTATTGACTATTTGACTAGTCAAACTTAGAAAATTTTACAATTCGTAGTCCGATAACATAATTTTTAAGTAATACCCCCCCCCCCCCTTCAAATAACAAACATTTAGAAATTTATACTGTATATCATATTTAAATCACCCGGATCTTTCGCGGGGAAGTTGGATTAGTTCTAATTTATTATTTTTGTTTGATTTTTACACAAAGGTGAAACTTAATTTTTGATTGTTGCGGTCATCGGATAGGAAATTTCGAACTCATCACGACAACCGGACCGGAGTTTACCCTTATGCAAGTGGGGATGATTTGCCAGCCGTGACACGACTCGGAAGTATTTTTCTGTTCAGATTTTTCTTTCCACCAATCCAGTGCGTAGTGGATCTATGTATGTATGGTTCGGAATCGAAAGTCGGAAAATCGAAAGTCGAAAGTCGATTTTAATAACGGCAACATCGACTTTAAATCGATTATTAGTCCGATTAATCGGCAAAAATCGGTTACACAAAATTGATGGATTAAACAAAACAGCCAACTCTTTATAACGAACCTATAACGAACTTAAATTCATAATTTATATTAATTCGTAATAAAAAATAGAATGTTTCTTGTAGAATACATGGTAAATTTTTATAACGAATTGGTTTTTCTAACAGAACCACAAGTTCGTTACGCGAAATCTTGAAGCTTTAAACAATTGAAGATTTCAATTTTATTATTTTTGCTAAATTAGCAGTTTTAATATGTTAGCATTAGAGTTTTATTAATATTCCGTGATATATAAGGATGAAATATATTTATTTACCTTTGCTCGGTTTTATTAATGAACAACAGCATTTTAAACAAGCCATATTATAATTCAACTAGGCTACAATACACCAACTAATAGCGAGTAAACTTAAATTTAGAAAAATGTAAATATTTTTTTTACTTGTAATATTAAAATTATTACAAAGTGCTTACATGTCAATACACTATACTATTATAACACATTACATAACACTCATAAAATATTTTCTATCAACATTTGGTAAAACGTGAACTTTTCTTTTTGAAGTCGAATTAGGTAAGAAAATCTGTTACCATATAATGCCACGTGCTTGTGATTCATTTCTAAAACAAGGAGTGCATACAAGTCGATTACATTGACAAAAAAAATATATATTTTTTTATTTAAACAAATATGATAAGGTTTGTTAACAAACAATAACGATCATTATTTATATTGTCCTTTTTTTAACGGGTCCCTTTTTTCATTTCCATTATTATTTCTTTGAGGGATGCTAATTTAAAGTGCTTACATAATTAATTTACACTAATTTGTTCCCACAACAAAATCGGATGATATCATGTTGTCAAACATTGTGATGTGACGCAGTGCACTTCACAACCATATGATAAAAAGGAATTTCTGTATTCCTTGTTTAATTCTTGTACGGAACGAATTGGGTCTTTAAGTTTTTTATGTTTGAATCAAATCTCTAAGAATTTTTTTTATAACTCAAGATATTCGGAACTTTTTTCATTTTCAGAAAAGATAGTTCGGCACTGATCTAAATTAACTTAATCAACATTACGGAAGATATCCCGAAAATATAAATTTACTAAATATTGCATTATGGAAATAAGAAAATCTTTGATACTTTTTTTTTGCTAATGAAGATTCACTACACTTATCTGATTGAACTAGAGAAGAAGATATTCATGAAAAGATTAATCTGACAGATTGATAATTTTTTCATTTATTGAAGCAAAAAATGAAATAATTGTAGAGAATTACGAAAAGGAGCATTGAGGAAGTAGAAAAGAATATATTCAAAAAGGTAATAACGAAAACTTTCTCTAATAGTAAGTTAACGGAGAACTTGACCAAAGGATAATGAGTGTAATTCTTTGGTGCGAGGCGAGATAATTAAAAAATAAGATTAGAAAAATTACAGTAATCTTATCATTGTTATTCACCAAGCCACCCGAGATATGCAACATTCTACGTTCAATAAATATTGGGCGTAATGATTCCTTTTATATCATAGTTCGAGCCCACATTATCCTTTTTTTAAAAAAATCGTTTTTGTAGAAAATATTTATTTAGAAGTTGTACCGTTGATTTGTGTGCGTCAAGTGTCGATTTGCGTCAGATGCCGACGGGATACTAAATATAGAAATAATAAGAGATGGTCATCATTAATGCTGCCCAGACATTATAAAAAATGGAACTGTAATTTAGTCCAGCTGACATCTGACGCAATCGACACGCACAACATATATACATTTATAAATATGGAAAATTACTTTTTTTAATAATTCATTTTAACAAATTTTAAATGTTAATTCTGAAGGGTATGTCAAAAGCCTTCCATTAATGTTTAAATTAAAAAATGGGAACCATCGCGTTTGGATTTAATTACCTTCATCATAATTTTTCGCATATGATTATGAAGATCATGTGACCGGAAACTATTTCCCGGTCGCATGATCAAAATCATATGCGAACATTATTAATGATGAGGGACAAAACTGCTAAGGGACTAATTCATGAAGCATATAACTGGAGTCATTATCAACTAAAATCTCTTCTTGGTAGTGATGAGACACGCTCCTACGGATCACACATTTATTTCATGAGGAGGGAATACCTTGGTTTTTTCTCCTCGGGACCATGAAATAAATAATACTAATTATTGATAATCCTCTTAAATAAAATTTTCCTTGCCATGCGTTTACATTCTAATTTAGGAATTTGCTTGCGCTGCACTGTTATACTAACATAAATCTAATACCGATTGGAATGCACTTGAAAGAAAAAACAATTAACTCTAAAAGCAGCTGTATGTCGAACAAAAAGAATTCGTAATTTTAGTTTATCACTGCTCAGATGAATTTGTGAATGTCGTTGAAATTAATCAAACTGGAAATATTAAAAACGAATTTAATGTTGCAAATGTATATAAATCGTTGAATTTTCGTAAAAGATTTGATTTTTTTCGTTGTCGTTATTTTATTTTACATTAATTTATTATAATGAATTCAAGTAATAATAACGTCAATACTCCTAGGATTATTGGTGAAACGACGTTAGAACGGCTTATTCAAAGAAGACAGCATCGACGTCATCAAAAAATGCGAATTTATCAAAGGAACGCACAGTCCATCAATAATCAAGAATCATTAGATCGCATTGCAAACCTTCCTCGGCAAGAAATAAGTAATACTCTATTGGATCAATTTTTCAATGGGACTGCTTTCATTTGAAAACAGGTTAGTGAATATTTGATAGTTAACAAAGAGTTTGAATTATTATTTTATGTTTAATTAAAATTTACCACGTTATTAGGATCCATTCGTACCAGATTTCCATGCCAAAAATTCCAGCACACAACAAACCACATTTTTCATGATAACAAAAGCAACTCCTCGAATGGCCAAAATCAAAAATATGAATTTATTAGAAGAAATTTTTTTTATACATATGGGGAATTTATCATATGTTTGGTTGGCGTACAAATTTACACGTTGTTACACAATCATTGTTATATTCTTAATTAATTTGTTATAAATTGACGTTGTACAAAATAAAATACTTTGTAAAAATAATAAATATTTTTATCATGAGATGAAAAATTATCAACAATGTTTATGTATATGTTTAAAAGTCATAATATTTTAATTTGTAAATAAAAGGTAAGTTCTTTATAAAATTCGGGACACTTTATTCATTCTTCTCCTAATTGATATTTGAATTTTAAAGGAGCGAAATGCTATATGTAGATATGTATATGGAGATGGTACAAGATCCATCTATTAACACATGGTGTCATAAATGAAAGGAAATTATAATTTTTTGATCACAAAGTAATCAATAATTCGTCATGTAATGAGGATCAAACAAACTAATAAAGGTTTTAACAGGAAAAGATACTGGTTTACACATTGTTATCATTGTTATCGAATTCATAGGATAACGTAATTAAATTTTAATATTTATTCATTTGTTCTATTAGTATGATAAATAGATGGCAAATATGGAAATACTAATTAATGCTTTCACTTATTTTACTATTTTACAAACAATTAAACCTTCTAAATAGATTTACATGATAAATCGTCGTTAATATGAAAATCGGGTTCTGAGAATTTTTAGGATTAATTTATTGATTTTATTAGAGTAAAATGAAAAAAGTTAGTTAAAAGAAAATATTTAAATAGGTTAACAAAAGTACTTTGTTTTTATAGATATTCATTTTCATTTTTTTTATTTTTTTTAAAAAAAAAAAGTCCCTTAACAATAATAAGCAAATATGACAACGACTTCGATTCAAATCGGCAACGATGGAAATAGACGTGTAAATCAAAATTCGCATCAGAATCGTAATGCATTCATCAATAATCACGACACGTTGAATCGAATTACAAGCCTTCCTACACAAACTTTAACGATAAATGAAATCTTAACGACAAATGATCTACTGATAAATGATTTTTTCAATGGGTGGGTTTTCACTTAGTTAGATTTCGTTTTTTCATGACTCTACAAAATTAATTTGTTACTTTTATTATGTTTATAATTTTGATCATTGTATAAATTATCATGTTAGCATTATATCATTTTTTAATATCATAATCATGTTATTTAGATTTTTATCATTTTTTGTATATTTGTATTTTTGTATATATGTCTACATATATTATTTTTTTTTGATTAATTTTCGTTCATGGTGTCAATATTCATTTTGCTTAGCTAAAACGAAAAACAGTTGGGTGATAAATAGCAACCTATCTCTTTGACTAATCCTAACCCGCCCTAACCCCAAGATATTTTCTGTTCACAAACACCGTGTAAAGATATAAATTTGCAGAAAATTATTCTAATTATTCTAATTATATATTTATCTAGTAATTACATACAAGATTTATTAATCAATGAGGGAAATACTAAATTATTGAAATATTCTTGCAAGTATTTACTCTCCTTGTTATTGGATTATACTGTATAATAAATAATAATAAAGTTTTAGATATGTACCGGTATCAAAGTATTTAATATGTTACAGTTACACAGGGGTGAATTTTTGATTGTTTGTTAACATTCAAAACATGGTGACACGTGAAATTTTTTTTGAAAATGAATGCCAACAATGTTGTACATTTAATTCACTGTAGCTTCTTGAAAGTCCAAATTAAACTGGATGGATATTTAATGACTCTCTTTAAACAATGTTAAGAAAAATGCGTAACACAATGTAAGTAATATTGTACGTGTATTGATTTCTGCATTTATATATATTTTTTTATTTTTTAAACTCTCATAATCTAGCTCGTGTCGGTTTAAAAATATATTTTATCTTAGTCAAAACCAAATCTGACTTGAATCATTCGAAAATTTTCGCCAAGTAATAAATTTTTTTATTAAGTAAGAAAAACAAATATTAAATAAATAGAATAAATATAAAAATTTCAATTTAAACAAAATTTTTATTATTCTAAAAAAAAATTTATTGCTAATAAGTTAAAATTTAAATTGAGATTTTGAGATATAATTATCGAATATGCTGACTTTTAATGCAAATTTATGTTATTATATGATTTAGTTAAATCATAATAATGAATAATTATTTAAATCTAATATAATGATTCAGATAATATTTGCTAATTTTATTCAAACGCAATGAAATTTTAGTCAAATGTAATGATCGAATTGATGTATTGTTAAAAAAATCATCTTGGTGCAACATTTAAAATAAATTAAATCGATAAAACTATTAAAATAATTGAATTGAAGGATTGTAAATTGACAAAACTATTAAATAAATTGAATTGTTACAATAGTTATAAATTATTAAAGACCTCACAGCAAAAAATAGTAAAATAAATTTCAATACATACATCCAGATATTTATAATTCTAATAATAATGTCTAGGAAAAATTATAATGGTAAAATAGGATTCCGGAAATATATGAAACAACTCTTAATTTGGTTTTACTAATAGAGAAAGAGCAAATTCGAAAAATTTCGAAAGTTCAAAAGTTGTTTTTTTGCAATTATCTCGAAATCTACTAGTCCATTTTAGCTGGTCATTTTTTTTAAAAATATAGCTCTAAATGAGCTCAATAAAATAATAAATGCTTCATTCAAAACATATTATTAGCTGAAAAATCGCAAAAGATTAAAATAGCAAAAAGTATCAATTTTGAAAAAAAATCCTGGAAAAATATGAGTTGTTTTAGAAATGTCTGGGGTCTTAGATAAATATCTTTATAAGGTCTATAAAAAAAGAGTCATTCACTTCTTATGGATGTATATGATATAGTAATGCTAAAACTGTGAAAGAATAATACTTTTGAATGAAATTATTAGACAAGTACAGTATCTTATTAGCAACAATTGCAAGCATCAAAGACTATAACATGATACTAACTTGTGATATATACCATTTATTATAGTATTGGTTAATGATGCTATTCAAAACCTATTTTAACGTATAGCTTAAAAATTGAGAAACTATTTTGAAACCTTTAAAATAACTTTTTTTGAAATCTGAAACTTGAAAAAACTTAATTGAGCTTAGGTAAACCTATTAGAAATTTAAGTAAAGATATTTATTATAACAAATAGTTTTATTTCAAATATCTCGAAACACAAATTTTCTAAAAATAGTAGTTTAGAAAGGCATCTTTAGCATTAGAGATAACTTTTACAATTTTTGTAGAAAATTCTATATCACAAATCCTTACAGAAACTGTATCACAAGTAAGGTTATCTGTCTAACCTTATTTTAGATTTAGCTAAATGCCTAAACCTTTAGTTTTGCTAAATTTTTACTAAATAGATTTACCATTTTTAAAATTTTTGATATAGCTTTACCTTTACTGTTTAAATGCTTTTCTAAGCTTTATATTTTACTTAACAACCTTAATCACAAGTTAATAATAACAAAATAAAGAATATAATACTTATAATATTAAAGAAAATATTAAAAAAAATATAATTAAAGAATTAAAAAAAAATAGTATAATAATTAATAAACTTTAAATATATTGATATTGATCCTGAAGATCTAATGAATAATTTTATATGATGATTTAGATACTATTAAAAAAATATAAATAAGACTAAATAAAATAATAGCTGAATAATGCATATTGTAATTTTATATAATTGATAGTAAAAGATAATATTTTAATTAGATAAATAATAAAGTTTTTCAACAACTATAGTAATTTAAAAAAACTCATTATTGTTAAGTTTAACAAAAAATTATAAGGATTTTCTTAATCAAATAGATTTTCTTTAATAATTTAAAGAAAGTTATTATAATATAATGAAATAAATTATACCTTTACTATAGCTTAATTTTTCACATTATTTAAGTTCTTAAATAACAATCAGAATAGCTAATAATTTAGAGAAGATATGATTTTGATGCGATATGTATTTGATGATCTATTCTGTATTTATTCAATTTTTCACTCAATTTGTATAATTAGTTGTACAGATCTTTATTGATCTATGTATTTGTGGCTGATTTTATTAGTACACCTAGTGTAAATTGAATCTGAAGTTTATATAGCTATTTATTGCTATAGCTACAGCTAGGGTTCCGCAATTCGATTTGACATTTGAATATTTGATTTGAAAATCAAATCAAATACAAATTCAAATTTATA